TCCTCTATAGGGAGATGTCCCTATTCGGAGGTTCCACTGCATACCTTCTTGTCCTGTCTATCAACAGCGGCTGCACCGAGCAGTAAAGTAGCCACTCCCAGCATCATGTCACGCGGGAGACCAAAGACATCGGCACACCAGACCTCCCTGTACAATAACCAGATATATACACACTGTGATGATGTTTGTGTAGCTGATTTTGCACACGCAAAACGGTACGTATTATACAGCGCCATGCTTATGAAAATTTTTTGTGAGCACAAATATACACTGCCTCAAAATATTGCTGATCATGATAAAGTATGGTCTCATATATACTAGTGAATTCAGTGTACATTCTGGAATGATACACTCACCCAATTTTTGTCAGTTTTGCTGTTTCGAGTGTCTCCCTCAGTATGTCGTGTGGTAGTCCATATTCTAGGTGAGCCTGTGTGTGTGTGAGCAAATACAGCAAATATAGTTGCGCAATTTTCAGCCGTGAAACGAGGGTACATTGTATATAATATGTCCATCCACATCACTTTAACTATTGTGATGTCAGTATATGAACAGGTCAGGGAAGCTGTAGGAAACAAACTACTTTATTTGCTGTTTTTGTGAAAAGGAACAAACGGTGCAGTGTAGCAACGAGCTGGAGGACTCACCAATATGAGGATTAGTAACATGGTGGTGGACTGCTCTGTGGAGCTGTTTCTTGTCTCTATCATCCGGCACAGCTCGGGGACCCGACCCTCTCCCTCCATCTCCCTGGACCAACACATATATATATACTACGGTGAACCATCTGGAACATCCTGTGGTATACGGTGGAAAGTTCTAAATAAGGGACACCGTGGGGACAACGTAGTGCCTAGGGAGGGACATTGCAGAGAATGGCATAAATGGCATACACGTCTATGGTCCCAACATGCTATAATTACACTCTACTCTTTACTTGCTGCTGTATTTCATGTGTAGCTTTATCTCTTCTTCCAGGGTGTGTGCCAGATAATGGAGTCGCCTTCTGTCCATCTCTGTGCAGATAATGACACTCAATACAACCACAACCAAACAACCGTACACTACGTACAACAATCACTCTGCAGAAAGTAAAACTTTTGTGAATTTCGAGAGTTCCATCAAATTTTTTGCGGGCCGGTGTGAACCGTTCAGTAATAGTACAAGCAGGCATTCTTTGTAATGGCATAACATACAAAACAACTTCACTGAAATGTACAGTAGGGCCAATGAATAATACGTAGAGTGCTGCATGCAAAACAAGTCAGCTTGCATTGAACAAAAAAGCACACAGTTTTATACACTATCGTACCAGTGTTGTGGGTATAGGAGGCAGGGAACTGAGCCATGAGATGAGTTGTCTGGTAAGAAAGACAGTGAGTCATAATGGCAGAAGCCTCAGTGGGTGTACATTAAACGGAACGGTCGTCTTACCTTCTTCCCAAAGACTCCATTCACCAGAAGTTGTTTCATGAAGGTCGGAACAAACACCCTCTCACTTGCCTTTCTCCACTGATTATAGAGTGGAAGAGGAAGAGGAGAGACGAAAGAAGATGAACGGGAGCAGAACGCAGAAGAGAAGCGATGAAAATAAGACACACAAAAGATAAGGCAGAAGGCGAAAAGGGACAGGGAAATGAGGCTGAAAGATGTGACGACAATGGGTATTATACCCACCACAGGCTGTGGAGAAGTTTCAGATTTATGGAAGAACTGTGACACGTGTCTTCTTTCGCCGGCTATTATATGGAACAGATGACCCAAACAGTGCCCACAGTGATAATATATTATACCTGTGATAATTCTATTGTCCAATACCCAGAGATTGGGTAGAGCATCCACAACATGTTCTCTATCTACAAGGACAAGATATAGCAGGAAAGTTATCCTCAACTGTATACGTTTATCTACGTAGTACACACGAAATTTATGGTGTTTGAGTTTCATAATGATTGTTGCAGTATACTGGTGCAAATGAAATAGAAAATCGTGTAAAAAGTATACGTGCGTTCAGAACATGAGAACTTCAAAAGGTGACAATACTATGTAGAGGTCTTAGGTACCCGAGACAGCTGCCATTTATGGAAACTTGCACAGTGTAATTTGGCAAAGATCACCCTCAAGTCGGGTGCTAATTAAAGCTCACAGTAGGGGTCAGAGTCTAGTTGAGGATTCCCAGAGAGGGTCAGGGAGAGAAGGGTCATGTGACTCAGCCTCGAAGCTCCGCCCACTCCAGCTCGTTACACGAGAGCTTGAGAGAGCCGAGGACTGGGAACTTTGAGAGTCCGTGAAGACTCTTGACCTGTAGCAGCAGAGGACTTTATTCTCTCTCTCTCCATTCTTCCTCAACGTATATACCCTGTTCCCAGTGAGGTCGAGGGACCACAGCTGATGACAAGAAGTGAGGTTGTGCAGTACAGAGATGCTGTTGTTGCTCAGAACGAGACTCTGGAGACTGGGGCAGTGTTCCAGCTCCTCTATCCCACCTTCACAAGACATACAAAGACGTACAGAGAGTAAGCTTACATTGGGCAGTGAAGTGTCTCGCATACTAATTTTGTTTCCCGACAGATTCAGCAGTTCCACTTCTTCCAGAGGCTCTTGTGCACGTTTCCACAGCAGCTGGAGTAGAGAGAGAAAGAAGCATACATATCTCCTTAGCGCCCGCACCGCACACAGGTGGCTCTAATAGAAACAACCGTCTTGGACATATACCTGCAGTGTAATCCGCATCTCTCTCTCTCCTTCCCTAGCTCCGTTGGTTATAGCCAGGCTCACGAAGAGAATCACAGGTCTAGGTTTTGGGCGGCTCTCCCACGCGCAAAATTGAATTCCATCAGCCCCACCTCTTTAGCCTTGCAAAGTATTAGCGCATGCGTAAATTCCACCCACACATAGCGCATGCGGATGATGAATAATACAAGAGAGGGGAAGAATTGGGGTCAAAGATAAAGGCTAGCTGCAAACACAATGTCTCTTCTGATCTTCATAATACCTGCAAGAAAAGAGACTGGCACTAAATCAGGCAACCACACTGCCTGCCACATCAACTACAGATTAAGCACCAACTGATTGTTGCAAAAATTAATTATTCCACAGTACATTTCCCACCTTGAGAGAATTTGTTTTCCAGTTCAGTGTTGCCAATTGCCTTGGCAGCCTGGCACATCTGACGCAGCAGCTCAGCCAGCCGGCGAATGCAGCGAATCACACTACCTGCATATAGAAGACCATGCAATTCTAATTATAGCACACCGAATACAGCTACAATAGAATCTACTGAGTATTAGTATGGATCTGGACTCACCTTCCATGATGTCTGTCATTTTACATATCTGTGAGAACGGGGCTCCCTGTTAATGTGTGAAACCACAAGTCACATGACCGACACTACAAGTCACATGACCCACCGAGACCCAGGCGTGCACAACGTCCATGATGTGCGGTCTGAAACTCTCCACGTAGGCCTCCTCCTCCATGTCCAACTTGGCCTCTATCGATATCCGAGCGATCCTCCGCGCCGTGTCCTTAGGGGAAGATTTGGCCGGAAAAAGTTTGGGGAAGAATAGAGTTGCTGCTATATAGTGTCTGCTAGAGGGTGAGTGTGGGACGGTTGAACCATTATGCAGCCAATACACAATACAAACCTAAGGCCACGCTGGTTGACTAAGAAAGACGAGTAGTAAGCTCTTTAGGCTGAAAAAAACTCACACCTGCATCATTTTCAGCGGTCCAGCGAGTTCGTCTGATAACTTTGGCATTGCATCAGCCTGTAAGAAGAGGCATCACAACATACATACATTCAGAAGTTAATCTGGTATGGATGTCTGTCTACAACACACCCTTTCCTGGAAGACGAAGCAGGAGAGAAGTGCCACACACTGCTCCACTGTCAGATCATTGAACGCTCCGTTGAACATTAGCTCTGTTAGCAGTAGCTCATCTCCACTGTGGAGGTGGAGGGGGAGGAGAAAGAGGGGCTGTATGGAATAACAAGAGAAAGAAGTACATATAAGATAGTACCTGCTGATCTCACAGGCAACTCTTCCCTTCACTTCTATCACGTCAGAAGCACTGGCAAATCCCAACCTACAGCAAAAAAACTGTCAGCATGCAGTCCAAACAAATATCATAGTTATAAGGATGGCTCCACTTTTCGTAATTTTAGCAAGAAAGTGGAAGGAAGGACAGGCCACCTAACCATCTTGCATACATTGACTATATCTGGAGAGTGCAGTGCAAATAACCCTCGGAAGTGACTGTGAAAAACGGAAGAGAAACTAGTGTTGTGGCTTGCCTTCTGAGAACTCTTTTCCTGCATTTCAGTTCATCCATGTGCATCACGTTATGCGCTCTCTTCAGCTCCTTCTTGGCTGTCTTTACTGCTCCTGCCAACTACACACACACAGAGAGAGACAAGAGAAAGACTAGAATAATGTTTGCTGAACAGTTCTCAACCACTCGGTGCGGAGTATGTAATCAGCGAAAAGCTCAGGGTTGGAGAAATCGGACACCATACCTCAGCTTTCTTCTGGCAGAGGTTATAGAGGGTCTCCAGCTGAGGGTTCTTGTGTACAGGGCTGGCCAACAATCTCTTCTCAAGAGCCTCAACTTTCTGCAACACAAGATTTCAAACCTCTCGCCTAATTCTGGGCCTCTCTCCTCTCTCTCTCTCTCTCTCGCTCTCTTACCTGGACTATCTTTCTGAACTCGTCGTCAGAGATGTGCATGTCTTTGACGGGATTGAGGAAAGGCAGGCCGTCGGGGAATCGTTTCTGTACCTCCTCAATGGCCGTTCGGACGACTTTCCTGTTCTGTAGCGGGCGCAGGTCCTTGGGAAGATAGACTCTGACTGAGCTCAGTTTTGTTAGGTGAGGCAGGAGGACTGGAACAACCTGTACACAGAGGGCCACGGCAGTACGAGTGAGGTCAGAGGGCCACGGCAGTACGAGTGAGGCCAGGTTTACAATATGTCGCATTGCCCCGTCGCACCGTGCCTCTCTGCCGCATAGCGAGGATAGAATCCATTTCTATCTTCGAGGCACAACGTGACGCGGCACTGCGTGACAGAGCAATGCGAAGAGAGAGAGATCGCGCTGTTTTGCAGTTTACTGCACCAAATGGTCCCCGGCCACAAAATTTGGTAGAGACACCTTTACAGATGACTCCATCTGCTTCCCACTAGGCACGGGGTATGGACCTGCATCTCTCCCCTGTCTCCCGATGGAGGCGGTTTTGGCGGTTCTTTTGGGGCTCTCTTGCAGGAATCGGTGGAACAACACAGCAGCACCTCCACTGCATACACAGCTTCACTCTGCATCTGAAGAGTTCAAAAGACAATGCGAGCCTTTCCACTTAGGTTTTCTCGATCTCTCTAGTGTACAGTTAAGTAAACTCTTCTCTAACGACACCCCTGAAATGAGGACACCTCTCTGATAAGGCACCTATTACATTTAAGTAAACTTTTCTCTAACGACACCCCTGCCAACTACAGGACTAAGGACACCTATTCTTTCCAACAACAACAGTTCTTGAACCCTTTAATGGTGTCTGGATTAAAGGAGTTCCGCTGTATATAAACTGCATGATTTTCACAAGTAGAGCGGAGGAGAGTTGGATTGGCGAAGGGGCCGCGAAACAGAGGTGAAAGTGAAGCTAGATAGGAAATAAAGAATCTCTCGTGCCTTTTGATTGGCCTTCTTCTGGAAATTGACGACAGCTCCCCAGCCAAAGTCTTCCTCGTCTCCATGTTCAACTTTCACCAGTCGACCAGGTTGCAGGAAAGGCACGCAGTACTTGGGCTTCGTTACAAACGTCTGCAGTTGCAGTTAGAACAGAGAGAGAGAGAGAAGGAGAATGGAGAATGGAGAATGTGAAATTGAAACTACTGTTGAAGAAAGCGGAAACTAGATTAGGAGTTGTATAATATATAAGTAAGTGGCTTGCTGTGCGTGGTGGTGTCTTGCCTGGAAGCTCTTTCCATTTCTAAAGCTGACTATTCCAAAAGATGTCTTCTTCTATATAGAACATTCTATTAGGAGGAACTGGCTTGCTGTGTGTGGTGGAGGCTGGAGGCTTGCCTGCATCTCTCCCTCCAGTCTGTGGAGCTGCTGTCTGATCCTGTAGTAGTTGGTGATCTGGTCTTCGTTCTCAATCACAACTCTATCTCTCCTTCCCTCCAGCTCCTTCACCTCTACAGAAACCATTGATACTTTCATTTCCTCAAACCCACGATATACCTTAGAACGCATTCCAATTGATGCACACTTGTTTCTACGCGTTTGAGCATTCCACGGGCACTCGGTAAAAACTCGACGTGAGTTACTACGCGATTCATGTCGTAGAGCTTTTAACCCCTTTTCTGCACGTTAGTTTTGTGATCAACCCACTTTTCTCCAGGGAGGGAATGGAGGAGTTGTTCTGAAAGAGGAAGAAGGAGCGTTCCAACATGTACTCTGGATTGATCTCCTCCACTCGCAGGAGGTTGAGGGCCATGTTGTAGGTGAGTCGGAACGCACTGTTCAGAGGGTCTGGTTTACCCTGGGGGTTGTGTATGGAGTAGAGGTGAGCGGAGAGGGAAGGGAGTGAGTAATGGTAAAACTGGGAGAAAACAACGAATAAAGATTTAAGTAATGAGGGGGGATAATGAAAGAATTTTTTTATCTCTGCTGGTTTTCTCCAACTTTGGCCTCATTATTCAAAAGTCAACTCGTTCCACGTCTCCCTTAATCGTCCAACCCGCGTCGTTTCCAACTACAAGTCTTGGCTAGAATAAGTCAACCATTGAAAGAGAAAAGCAATTCATTGCTAAAATAAGCAGAGAAAGAACCCCACAATCATTGCTTGACAAAGTAACTCATTGAAAGAGAGGAGGGAAGAGGAGAGAGAAACTAACTTTCAGAAGTTCTCTGCCAACAGAGGAGTCCATCTTCTCGTCAACCATGAACATGACGATGCCCCTGTCGTCAATTCCTCGTCGCCCCGCACGACCACTCATCTGTATATACTCCCCAGACCTGATCTGAAAAACCACCACAGAAAAAGTCTAAGTGTACTTCATATGGGACACGTCTTGGTGGAGAAAAAAAAGAACCGTTTTCGTCTGGGATCAAACTCAGGCCTAGTTGAACCAGTATAACTTCCACTAAGATCTTAAAAAAATAGTAATATTTTGTGCTCTTACCCATCGGAACTCTTTTCCGTCAAATTTCCTGGCACTGGTGAAGACGACCGTCCTCGCAGGCATGTTCAGACCGAGAGCAAAGGTCTCTGTCGCAAATAGCGCCTGACAAAGAGTGAGATGCTTTTGAAACACGTGCAATATAAATACAACCTCGTGCAAATGAAACACTCAATTTTTACTGTTACTAAAATTTCTCATGTTGCCAGGTTTGAAATTGCAGCCATTGGTAGAGTGGGTGCGGTCAGTGGTTGTCAGTACGATATCCTGGCAGTGCACTGCTGCTGTGGCACAGTTTTCTGCCAACCACGTCACATGGGGTGAGAGTGAGAGTTGGAAACGATGGCTGTGCTTGAAACTCTCTAAGGCTAGGTTCACAATATCATGTCGCATTGGCCAGTCGCACCGTGCCGCGTTGCCGCGTCGCGAGGATAGAATCCATTTCCATCTTCGCAGCAGGACGCGACAGGGCAATGCGACATATTGTGAACAAGGCATAAGACACACGGAATCAGTCTATGTTCCTACAGTTACATAAGTGATCCAAAATATCTTAGAAGTAAGGGAATAAGGTCCCTATAGTAAGTTTCACAGCTATAGTGTCCATTTTCTGTAGTCCAAACGTTCCGCTAATTCAAACACCGCCTGCTCCCGAGGCGTTCGGATTAGCGAGTTCATACTGTAGCATCAGGACGCAATACAACATGTGCCTCCCCGGCCCCCACCTGTATAAGGCCCTCCTGGAAGAGGATCTCGGTGACTTCCTTGAGAATGGGCAGCAGCCCCGAGTGGTGAATTCCTATCCCTCTCTTGAGGAGAGGAAGAATGTGCTCAACCTGCGGTATCTTCTTGTCGTCCTCCGACAGACAGTCAATGGCGTTGGTAAACACCTCCTCCACCAGCGCTTTCTCATCAGCTGGGGTGGCAGGGAGTTAGCTTGTTAGGAAAGAGAGTCTACCCGGTTGCCTGAGTGGCTGTGCATACCGTAATACTTTACGTAACATACCGTAACACGTGTCAAATCTGAAATTTCTAACTTTGTTTACAAATCACTCACCACTGTCTACAGGTTCTAGTTTATTGGACTGAGTGGTATTGTTGGTTGAAATATTACTTGACTAGATATCAATATCGGTTTTAGCGGGGTAAGCCTTAGAAGGGAGATGAGGGGGAGGGGAGAGGAAAAGCTAACGTGTGTTGAAGTCCAGTTTGGACATGTCCAGTGCAAGAGCCTCGCAGTTCTGGCGACTGAAACTGAAGACTATGACCGGCTTCAGCTGTCTCTCCATCACCATCTTCACCACCTAACACAACAACAAACAAACAAACAAACAAACAAACTAGACAACAATTGGGTTCACGGCAGACCTTGAAGCAGGAAGAAGGTCCTTTAGTTCCTCCCTTTCTTCCCCCTCCCGCCCCCACCTCCTCCTCCGCCACCTTCCTGGAGGAGGGACATTGCTGTCTGGAAGTTGTCCTCTCGGAAGTTTCCCTGCAAAACATTTTCATGGGTAAAAAACAGAGGTCTGTCCACTTGGAGTCGTAGAAACTCGTGTTGATAACTGGTTTAGAGGGACGGTCTGTAAAATCCTCCCTCCTACACCTGTATGGCATTCGCTGCACTCTTCGGTGCCCGACAGAGGCCGTACCTCTTTCCATCTTCGTGGTTCAAAGGTCCAAGATCTACATAGGCTAGGATGGCTCGTGCAGATACAGTCGTTGTGCTCGTTCCCGATCGCCAAAAATCCGCCTTCCAGTGCTAGGTACAGTACAAGTATATACCTTTTCATCCACGACGAGGTAGAGGCCATCAGCTCCTGCGGGATATAAGTAGTGTTGGAGAGGAGTTGGTCTGAACTCTGTGTACACCACGTGACACGGCTGAGGAAGAGAGGCGAGGAGAGGAAGACAAGAAGAATGAGAAGAGTTTCAGTAGATGGAGAGAGGGGAATAAGAACAGTTTTAGATGGAGAGAGGGGAATAAGAACAGTTTCAGTAGATGAGAGAGGGGAGAACAGTTACAGTGGATGGAGAGAGGGGAATAAGAACAGTTACGGTATACGGAAGAAAGAGAGAAGACTCAGAGACAAGTATATACGATCCAGGTGAGATTTTTTGAGAGAAAGAGAAAGTTCTTGAAACAAGTGAAGGTTTAAAGACCTGCTGGTGAAGATGGCAGATCCACTCGGCAAACTGCGTGGCGTTGGGGATGGTTGCCGATAGAAACACATAGTGAACGTTGTCTGGTAATAGGATAATCGTCTCCTCCCAAACCACACCTCTTTCTATAATCAGAATTATTAAAAATGAAGTGGAATAATAAACATAATGATGGCAGAAAAAGGAAATGTGATAGTAGTGAAGCAGCAAAGAAAAAGCGACAAGGATGGGATTCGAACCCACGCGTGCATAGCACAATGGATTAGCAGTCCATCGCCTTAACCACTCGGCCACCTTGTCTCGCTGAGCTCAGAACACCTACCACAGCAACACAGCACAACACTTGGCTACCGTTGAGATTGCACATTGATTTTAAAATTTTTTTTACCACTTCACTCTGTCGTTGCGCTTAGTCTAAACTAGAGGTGGTGGATTGTAAAAATTTCGTCATATAATTGCCTTTCGATATGATCTAAAGATCATGTGAAATCTTGAATTTCACAGTAACAGATTACTTCGGACCTACCTGGATCCCTCATGTAGTGAATTTCATCGAAGATGACCCAACCCACTTCTCTCATCACCTATATAGTAACGCAGATATCACACGAGCCAACCTACACAGTTATGGTTGAGGGTACATACATTGAAGGTAGAGTAGTTCAGACGATCATAATCTTCACTGATTTCAACTCAGAGAGATTCCCATGATCATGTCATCATCACCACTGCTCTTACCATTAATACATGCATGCTATATATAGTGCATTGACTTTTTATAAGGACACACATGAAACTAGGACATGTCTCTAATACAACCACCTTCCCTTTGCCGTTGCATAATAATTTAACCCCATTTGTGTCCAGAATAGAGGGGTTCCACTGTATTATCAGAATGTGTATATACTATATTACCATACCTCAGATCCTCTGTACAGCATACTCCGCAAGATCTGCAACAGGTATACACCACCACAGTATAACTGGAGATGTTGAAACTACTGAAAGAGATGTGTTTACTGACCTCGGTGGTCATGATGATGCAGGAGGCACTGGGGTTGATCGTGAGGTCTCCTGTCATTAGACCGACGTCATTGAACATCTCACACATCTGCCTGTACTTCTGGTTACTCAGAGCCTTAAAATAGGAGAGAGGGGGGAGGAAATATTGGCACCGTATCACCAAAATATTTGAACATTGACATATGACATTCCGAAATTAAGTATTAGTAATCTTCGTACGGTATAACCGAAAAAGTTTTGCCAAATTTCGTTTAGGAAATTGCACAAGTATTACAGTATGCCATGCACACTGGCTTATATAGTGCCTTTGAATTTGACAAAAAGCTCAATTCGCATCAGTTTCTTTCCGCGAAAGTTTAAAATTCTGTACTGAAAGCCTCAAGGGTATATAGGAGGGAAGGAAGAGCCTTACCTTGATTGGGGTTGTGTAGATGACCCTCTGGGTGTCTCTCAGCGACGTGGCAATGGCGTACTCGGCCACGACCGTCTTCCCCGCGGAGGTGTGGGCAGAGACAAGGACAGACTGGCTGTTCTCGATGCACCGCAGAGCCTCTCGCTGGAACGCATCCAACACAAATGGATACTCCTGCAGTTAGGAGCATTACCACTCCTTAATCCAGCATGGAGCTCACACAAAATACGTATAGCAACAAGTCACAGCAAATGACAAAACGACACTGCTACAACCCTTCGCCAAGCAAACTAGACAGCAATTAGGTCCTTTTTTACCATTTAACATTCCTCCCCCCAAAAATGAAATGAAATGCTCTCTTGACTACAAAAAACACAGGTTTATAGTGGGAGGGGCTATAACGACCTTTGCTGGAGTAGACGACAATGGTTTTGAGTGGTTCGCATTCCATGCCAGGTGGAACGGCAACCTGCAGACATGGGAATCAGACACTGACTCATACACTGGTCCATAAGTGCGTTGCCTCGTGGGTGCAGATGAGTCCCTCAAGTGTGTCCACGGTCAGGATCTTAGCTGGCTCCAGAAAAATCCTCGTCTTTGCCTTACCAATCTTTTCCTCTACTCTAGTTGGTTCAATTTGGAACAAATCACAGTCAGAGATGAAGAAAGGGAAAATTGACACAATTTGCAAGGTGTGGGAGGTTTTATCGGCAGAAAAATCTTTATTTATAGCTCACGTTTCCTTTGAGTCGGTTTCCTCGGGGAAAGGTTCGTCTTCCATCAGTTGTGGCTGCAGCGACGAACCAGCGCCAACCGGCGGAGCTGTTTCCCCAACTTTTGGCTTTTTCTGCTCCTCCCGCGTCTGTCTCCCTTGTTCAGAGCCCCCGGCGACATCCCTCCGACGCTTCTTGGCTTTGGAGCTCGTCTTCTCCGGTTCTTCTTCGAACACGTCGAAGAGTTCGTCCGAAAACAGGGCCATGCCTTCTCGATCTCCGCGGCCTTACCCACGTGTTGTGAATTCCCGTAAATCTCCGCATCCGCCCGCGGACTAGAAGGGTCTGCAATAATGCCCAGAACACGAGCTAAGACGAAGTCTCGACGAGGGAAGGAAACGGCTGAAAATGACGGTTTTGACGGCTCAGCAGACGAGCAAGTGGATCTCTCGCCCGCAGAAACTGCTCCGAAGCCTCCAAACAAACGGACCAAGACTCCTCGCGGCGGTAAACGTCCTGAAACTGACCCACCACCGCCCCCGCAACCGAGGCCCGAGCCGGAGAAAGTTGCAGGAAGGAGGATGAGTAACGTAAAGCACTCGGGGTTGCTGGCGAGGGACGAAGTCGTGAGACTTATGGCAGAGGAGGGAGACGAAGAGGACGAATCGTTGCTTCATCTCTCCGCCCGGCGGCTAGTTGGACCAAGTCGAGTGACCATGGACGAAACCGAGGAGGAAGGGGAGGGGGAGAAACCTTTGGAGGTGGCAGGGAGAGAGATTTTTACCATCCAGAATGGCAGACGGTCCACGAAAACACCGAGGATGAAGCGACCAAATGGGAGTGGCGAGCAGTCCACACCAGGAATAGGAGAAGATGCCAGTCAGGGAGACGGAGAAGAAACGGAGGGAGATATGGAGGAGGTGGCTGTGCAGCTGCAGACTAGGAGAGGCACCAGTGGGGGGAGAAAAGTCAGTGGAAGGCAAACAAAACAGCAAACTGGTAGAAGGAACGCTGAAAAGGAGCAAACCTTGCAGAGAAATTCAGATAGCGAAATTGACGAGGGACCAGATGAAAATCTTGCATGTGGTAAAAAAGGAAAGAGGGTAATAAGGAACAGAGAGACACGGCTCAAGGAAAGAGAAGCAAAGGGAAGGGTAGGGCCAGAAATGTCCGGTGGAGATCAGATTCAGACCAAGAAGACAGTGAATTTTCCGAAGAAGATGAGGAGGAGTTGGACGAAGAAGAGATGGCTGCTGTGGCTGCCCAGCTGAATCGAGGTGGAGGTGTGGCTGAGCACTCATTGGAGGATTACTTCACGGCACACACCGGAGCAGCAGGGCCCACCTCTGACAGCACTCTCTCTCGGCTCGCTCGCCCACGACTGGAACAGGCTGCAATTCAGACCGCCTTGCAAGACGTACCCAGCTTCTTCCAGGGCGACTGTCAGCAACTGTTCGAAGAGTATTCTCAGCTCTATTCCTACTGGCTTCTGCAGATGAGCAGCGGGTACAATGTACTGCTGTATGGGCTTGGATCCAAGAAAAGGTTGTTGGACGACTTCTGCAAGAGCTGTCTCTCGCAGTCTTGTCACCTTGTCGTCAACGGTTATTTCCCTGGACTCACACTCAAGCAAGTTCTCAACAGCCTCAGCTCCGACTTACTGGGCCACAACGGTACCTTCAAATCCCACACCGAGCACGCTCAGTTCATCGTTGACGCACTAGCACTAGAGAAACAAAAGCGCCCAGGCGACAAACAAACCGGGAGCGAAATGAGTGAAATATTTTTAATAATCCACAATTTGGACGGACCGATGTTGAGAAGCGAGCGTGCTCAAGCTGCTCTGAGCGTTCTGGCCTCGTCCAAGTGTGTCCACGTGATGGCATCAGTTGACCATATCAACTCGTCTCTCCTCTGGGACCAAACAAAAATGAGTCGATTCAGCTGGGCGTGGCACGACGTCACCACCTTTCAGACCTACAAGGAGGAAACTTCGTACGAGAATTCGCTGCTCGTTCAGCAGTCCAGCTCACTGGCGCTCAGCTCTCTCACACACGTCATGAGGAGCCTCACGCCAAATGCCCGCAAGATTTTCGAGCTCCTGGCAAAGTACCAGCTGGAGAACAAGAGGGAGGGGGAGAGAAGCTACCAGGGCCTCTCGTTCTCCGAGTGCTATCGGAGATGTCGGGAGGATTTCCTCGTTAATAGTGACTTGACGCTCAGAGCTCAACTGACAGAGTTTATCGACCATAAGCTGGTGCGGTCGGCAAAGGGGAGTGACGGGGTGGATTACCTGACTATCCCAGTGGATGATGCAACTCTCTCTCAGTTTCTGAGTGAATTCAACGACTAATTACGTTCATTTTGTCCCTGCAAAAAAAACAAATTATGTTGTCACGTGTGCGTGTTAGCTATGAATCTCGCAGCGCTAGCGGTGTCACTACGGGGTCTGGAGCTAGGCCTCCATTTTTCACGTCGTCCTGGTCTCGCGTGGCTGCTCAAGGTCGCTCGGCCCACGTCAACGTGCGTCACGTTGCGCGCTAGAAGGAAGGAGGCCCATCCCACCGCGGAGGAGAGGCTCGTGAGCTTGCGGAGCACCGAGAAAAGGTGACATAGCTATTTGTTCATCTAGTTTGCGACCCTAAAAATCATTAAGTCCCAATTGAAAAATGGTATAACCAAGTACAGAGATGGAGCTAAAGGTGGCCGACATCGCGTAAGCTTACTGTATATTATGCATATGTATTGGCCAGTGATCTCTCTGAGGCAAAGTGTTTTTTTCCCAACAGAATAGCTGCAGTGGCAGTTGGTTCGCTGATTGTTGGCTACGTCACACTGAAAGTAGCATTCTCAGGTATAAACTCTAAACTATTGTCTACTCTCCAGCTGTTGAGAGGCGATATCGATTTCAGATATAGAGTCAAAGAAAGAAGAGGAGCGAGTTTCGTCTGGGTCTGATTCTGGTACCGGAATGGAATCGCCACCTCGACCGCTGGTGTTGACAGGGCCGTCGGGCTCTGGAAAGAGCACTCTACTGAAACTGCTGTTTGACGAATTCCCAGACGCTCTAGGGTTCAGTGTTTCACGTAAGACACACAGACACCAATGGGGGCAGGAAAAGTGTCCGTATTAGTGATGTGCTCCATTTAGGGGTTTAATAAATTGCATGCAAGATACACAGAGAGGTATCATTATTTCAGGGGTGTTCTTAGAGACTCTGTACTGCACAGACATCTCTAGTCACATGACTTATCCTGTGATGTCACATGATCCACAGATACCACTAGAAACCCGAGATCAGGCGAGAAAGATGGAAGAGGTTTGTTTTACACGACAACACAAAATTGGAATCCTTATATAAGAGTCTCTTTTCAGAGTATCACTTTACTAGTAGAGAGGAAATGAAAAAGAGCGTGGAGGAAGGGAACTTCATAGAAACGGCTGAGTTTGCGGGGAATGTGTATGGAACGAGGTCAGTTGTAAACCTACAGCTTTAGACTATGAGAGTGTCACTCTTAGTGCATTGTATGTACACCTGTTGCAGTAAGCAAGCGGTGAGGGACGTGCAATCAACTGGAAGAATATGTGTCCTGGATATTGACATACAAGTATGTATCACTAACTGAAGCGTTAACTAAGGATAATATAATAGGCATGGCAGCTACAATACACTTCTCGTCACAGTCTAATATTGTGTGGTGAATATTTTTGTTGGGCAGGGTGTTATCAGCATGCGAAAGACAGATCTCAATCCGATGTATGTGTTCATCAAACCACCTTCAGTTGAGGAACTGGTGAGGCGAAACACTCATGAAACATCCATCGCACAAATCTATAGACATTATAAAATCACGGGTGGATGAGAAATTTTTGATGGTCGTACAGGAGAAGCGTCTGCGAGCAAGAAATACAGAATCTCAAGAAAGCCTCCAGAGAAGGCTGGACAGAGCCAAGACTGAGATGAGAGAGGGTCAGTGTGTCACGTGACTCCTGTACACCTGCCACCTATTCAGTAAAGTAGAACCTCAGATAAAGGACACATTAGGGGAAAATAACCCTCTCATATATAGGAACCTCTTGGAGGTCCCAAACTTTCACCTTTCTGTCATTTTAACCTCCAAAGAGAGGTCAACCTCCCTATAAAGCACAAAATGCCTGGTCCCAATGTGTCCAATACTCAGAGGTTCCACTGTATTCTTTTTTGCTCCCAGCTGAAGTCCCTGGTGTATTTGACCACATTATTGTGAACAAAGACCTGCAGAAGGCCTACCTGGAACTGAAGGCCACAGTCACACAAGTAATTTCATTGGTTGAAACTTATGTATAATACATGGAGTTTATCTTCTTACATGTTCATCCCACGCACAGGAGTTGGGGCTTGCCAAGAAGAAAACATCTCCAAACACTACCGCTGCAAAATCTTAAATATTGTTTCTTTCTTGTTTGCTGCCTTAGTCTTTTTTCACTATACATCATCGCTCTAAGTTTTAAAAATAACTGCGCATGCGCGAACTATTCCAGCGCGGTAATAAGTGCGCGGCGGACGGAAGTCGGGTTTCTTGTCGAGCGAAAGAAGCATAACCGTGGAGTTTGAGGTATATGCCTTCTTCTTTTAGCTGTAATGTAAAAGACCTGTCTGTTCCCTGCAGTGTGTGTTCCGTCATGGAGGAGCAAATGTCGAAATATCGCCTAACGGAGGAAACGCTGAAAAAGCGATGCTCCGACGGACACATTCTAGACATAGGGGTTTTCATAGCCTGGAGAACAGTTGGTCCTCGCCTTGATAAAATCAGCCAAACGGACGTAGAAGATATTGACCGTGATGGACACAACGAGTCAGAGAGGAGAGGGATGCTGCTTCCTCTGTGGGTAGAAAGGAACGGAGATGATGCTACTTACTACAAACTGATCAAGGCAATGCTAGAAGCAAGGAACGGGTCAAATGCTGACGAAGTCTGCAAGCTGCTTTTACCTGACAACGGTCTGTGCGTAACATTAGCCCGCAACTAATTACAGTGCATCAGCAGTGTCAGGAGCTCATTAAAGCTCCTGGCGGTGTGTATGCCGTAATAATATTGCTCTGTTATACAGAGACTCTGTCAGCTCTTGTTATAATGTTGTGTGTTTCGATATTTCAGGTTGGATGTCGAGGACCTTCCCTGCAACTTTTTCTACCTTTCCCATCCTGCCCAACATGTCTGCCTTGATGCCATCTCGCCTGCCGTCACGCCTGCAGCCACCACCACCACCACCGGCGATCACCAGCCCGGGACATCGTTTACTGGTAATTACAGGGGCATCGGGCTCAGGAACCAAACCACTGCTGCAGCGACTCCTCACCGGTTTCCCCAACAAATTTGAAGTCTGCGTTCCACGTAAGGCAGCTCATCCCAATCGCTTGTGAACTACTGTAACTTTACTGGCATCTGTTGAATTATTGCAGGTACTACAAGAGTTCCCAAGGAAGGAGAGACACAAGGAAAAGGTAATACTGAGTAGTATAATGTCACACATCAAGAGTATCGTCTACAATAACTACTAAACCTTTTCTCAGAATATCACTTCACCACCAAGGAGGAAATGCAGACGGGGATTAATGGAGGGAAATACCTGGAGTGGGTTGAGTACTCTGACGCCATGTATGGAACGAGGTAAGAATCGCTATTATAATATAGTATCAAACACATGTGTATATAGGTTACAGAGCTTCAAAGCCACACACGTTACATTCCAACCAGGAAATATTGATACTCTTCTTTCGGTCAATCTTGCAGTGCAACTGCCGTGAAAGAGATTCAGTCTCGAGGCAAGATTTGTGTGCTTGAAATGGACGATGTGAAGGTATATTATGTCATAGCACATAACTCTTTGGCCTGATTGTCAGTGTTGTTTGTAGCGCGTTCGGAGCATTAAAGAACATGCAGACACCGACCCATATCTTGTCCTCATTCAGCCGTCCTCTCGAACTGAAATGGTGAGAACTACAAAAAGGGTGCAACTTGAAAACCAGGGGCTATATTATATCCTTTTCTCCAGGACAGTGATATGACATTTGACCTTACCATTACAAGTGACGAGGAAGAAGAGGCGTACAAGACACTCAAAGAAGCCTTAACTGAAGTAAGATAAACTTGTAACATCAACATGAATATACTTTTTACATGCGTGTCTTATAACAGGAAAGTGCATTCAGTGGATTTTTAACAGCAAAAACTCAGTAAGTATAGTGCCATATCTGCATAGTATAAAACGTAAAAGAGATTTTGTGACATTCTGCAGGTCACAAAACGTCCGGGTAGGAATCTACAACACCTATCAAGTCATGAAAAACTATGTCATTGTCATTGTTCTTGCTACCATCCTCGGCGTGTACGTAATTCCCCTCGAGTTTTAGTCATGTGACATCTTCGGAACTCTGCTGTCTCGTGTGTTTTCCCAATTTCGTTTTTTTGGCTGTTGTAAATTCATGTGATTTTTCTCGTCTGGAATCGGGACAATCTGGACTGGGAATGGGAATTCCTAGCCCGTCCATTACCCTCGTCATGACGTCGTCCACATAGCCGTGGATTATGAGATCAGCCTTCTTGTCCTTTTGTGTTGGGGGAAAAAAACCAGCTTTACTGGTATATTATCCATAGACAGTGGAAAATATGCTGTCATATACATATTTGGGGTACTGTAAAAGCGGAAACATTGGCGCTTCATTAAACTTATCAAATTTGGCGTTTAGAAATATGTCGCTAAAATTAATGGTCCGCCAAATTTTTTTTAATATAACAGGTCAAAGTTAACCACCACTTACGAAACGCTAATATTAATGGCCGCCAATATGTGGAGTCTGAGTAAAACGCTAAATATAATGGCCGCCAATATTTCAGGCTTTACAGTATTTGGAAACAAGTGTCCTTTATAGAGAGGTGCCTTTGGCAAGTGTCCATTATAAGAGGTTCCATTGATACACATGTTGGGGTTTGCGTTTTGTGCTCACATATTTTGTGGGCTGTAGGTTACAGATGACTACACTCCCTCCGTTCTTCTTGGCCAGGAGAGGGAGCTTCCCAGCAGGCAGGATCTGTAGGGTGGTTCCTAGACACAGGGAGAGGTCCGCACACCTGTACTGGGGGTGAATACCAGAGACCTCTGATAGAGAAGCCAGTTCATGGTTGAACTAGTATGCTAATAGGCTTATCAGTTAAGTGTAGATTACAGAAGCATGAGCTTTCATACTAACACCTGTTCATCTGGATTGCATAGAGGGAAGCAATTCAACTGCAAAAACACACAAAACTTTCATGGATTGAGCTATCTTGCTGTTGTGCTTACAAATTTCACGGATATACACCGCTCTCGAAATTCACAAAATGCACGTTTTCAGAAGAGTTCAACAGTTGTGTGAGACTCACCTGGCGTGGCGTTCGGCTCTCTCTGTCTCTTCCACTGGTAGCTCGTCCTCCCAGTCCAGCACCGTGTCCCTCAGTCTCCCCCGACAACGCCCCCTGGCCCCGCCCCCCACACACCGACCCCCCGTCAATTTCAGCCCCATTGTTGGAACCACCCTCTCCCGCACATACTCCCTGCAAAATAAGACACTGATGGTACCTTTACGGATGAGACAATAATGTGTAAAACAAAAACGAGAGGGGGCACCCGGATTTGAACCGGGGACCTCTCGATCTGCAGTCGAATGCTCTACCACTGAGCTATACCCCCAACAGCTGTTTCAATCTTTGCAACGCATGATTGTCCAGTACATACGTCCTTATTCTACAGTACGTATAATACCTTTTGCACTTATCACACTTCTCCATGAATACGTTTCCATGCAGCTCTGCCAGATGATCCCTGAAGAAGTGATTTTAAAAATCCTGTCGGCATTGCCAGTTGAACAGTATTTTAAAGACACCCCTAAAACTGACACCTCGTTACATTTTCCTCCCCCAAGAACGTGCAATTCCCCACAAGACAGCTCGCTAGTACGGACACTGACACAATTCCAATAGTGTCCAGATTGGAGGGGTTCCCATGTATATACCTGGGTAAACCAGACTTCAGATGGAGTCCGTCGACATTTTGACTGACAATGCATTTGACCACACCCCTCTCCACAAGCCTAACGAGTGCCTTGTGTGTGAGAGTGGGCGTGGCATCTTCAAATCTCGTGGTGGCTTCGACCTTCTTCCCCTGTTTCTCCAACGTCCACACTCCACGTGGACCTCGGAAATCAGGGATTCCTGAATGTCATGATAAACGGTGTGGTCACGTGACATCACGTGATTCGAGCTTTATTTGCGATCTGACCTGCAGCAGTGCTAATACCGGCTCCAGTGTGGACCACCACGTGCTTTGCAGTCGACAGTAGCTCTGCGAGAACCCGTACCTTCTCCGTTAGCTTATCTGGAGAGTCGAACTCCTGCATACGAAGTTTATAGAGCTTCAATGAGCGGTTTTTGCGCTTTTTCCCTACTCTCTGCAGTGCTAGGTTTCATGTATAGCATTGTTTACCTCCGGGAGGCCGCATACACCTTTATTCTCGTACTCCGACAGCCCAGATGCGTAGTCCACGGACATCACGCTGTCTCAGGATATTCTCCGTATATTATCCCCACGTAACGCATGCGCATTGTACATCAGTATATACAATGAAGAACACAATTTACAAAAGACACATCCTGTGACTGTGAAAATGATTGGGGATCGATGGGTAGAGTTATAATTAAGCGGCTGATTGGTTGGGGTGAAGGTCTGATGAAGAGACTGCATTGACTGAGGAGACTGTAATAAATGTAGATTTATGGTGACGAAAAAGAAGAAAATTGCCTCAATTTAAGGCAGTGTTGATTTATTAGAGAGAGAGAGTGTGATGTTAGAGAAGAGTGTAAGCTTGTTGTTTGTTGTCTCGATTGGTGAAGGTTAGTACACAGCTCTCGCTGAGCAATTGTAGCAATCATTGAAAGCTATATACTCGTTCCAAAACGTTCCTCCAATGGCTCCCAGTGACAGTTTGAAGGAATGCACCTCACGTGTTACGAGGCAAAATTGTTGTCACTGAAGGGTTGAAAAGTTGCTAGCAAGTGTCTCGATCCCAGAATCTTGTCTGTCCATCCCCCGTCGGCTGGTACTAGCTAGGCCCGCCACCCCACGAAACGTGGCGGATGGTCTAGATTCGTGGGAGCCAGTGGCAGAGACACCGCGCTCTCTTCTCCCCCAGTTTCCCAGCCCTGCCAGCTGCCGGGTCCCCAGGGACGACCGATGGCGTGGGGACTCAGCAGTCTGGGCCCGTTCTGGAACCAATTACCCGATAACGATGAGGGGCAGTGGTATGACCTCCTGGTCTCGGGTCTTCAGACCATCCCAAAGTTTCGCCTCCCAAATCTACCGAGCCACTCCCCCCAGCCCTCATTCTAACGACATTTTCTGAGGTGTTTTGCTGGCTTAAGGTCCCAGTAGCGAGGATGCCCCTGTCATATTCAGTTAACGACATCAGGATTTCATCGCTGTGAAGACTACTCTTTCGCCATCCACCGCCCCCGTGTTGCCTCTCACGCGAGCCACGCCTCCCTAGGTTGTAGCCACGCCCACTCGTTTCCACCGGGTCACCATGCGGCAGACTTGACTTGCGTTGCCTGGTGTAGGCGGAGTCGTGTTGAGATGCTCTGCCCGACCGGTGTGTGGCCGGCCAACTGGAGGAAGTGGAGCCGGAACTGATGTCAGAGAGAGAGAGGTGACGTTGGATGACGGGCTGGGAGCGAGGGGTGTGGCCTCCGGAGACATGCGGAGAGTCTGGGGATGTGGTGAAGAGTGACCTGTGAAGGTAGGGAGGGGTGTAGAGATTACACAACATTCACAGGCAAAAAATACACAGTACAGAAGAAGTTAAAATGGAGAATACAATCTAGTGTGCAGCTTGTGTGACAAGTATTGGCACACACTTGTGTGTGTTTGCACTAAGAACAGTTGTTGTTGGCAACCACCAGCTAGTGGCGGGCTCACATAACAACTACACCACAAGGGTTAGTATTCGAATTCCAGGAGCTGCGTTTGTTGGCTATTAGTTTCATTGAGAACTGCATGGGAACAGCTGGGGAACAAATAGGAAGTCTGTCTAGACCGCCAAGACATCCTAGCAACCACTGGTGTTGGGCAACTATTACAAATCCGTTACAAATCTAGTGCAATATACAACCTGGCATGCCAACCCTGTAACGGAGACTGCCTGCCTGCCTTTTACAGACCAGAGTTACAGAGGATTACGTAAACCAACTTGCTCTGAAAAGTGATTCTGCCAAAACTCGAAGGGACTTGGTTCCGATTGCAGCGGATGCAAAAAACAAGGCAAACAAATGAAAGTTGGGTTTGTGCATAATATACCATGCTGTACTAGCAGACATGAGGGTATTGTACATCACTGTTTACCTGCCAAACTAAGATTATAATACCCAACTCAATTTCCCCCTCTTATGTACCGTGTTGATAGGAATTTAGGGAGGCTGTCACTGGAGCGACAGTCCTCGTCAAAGGTGAAGCCAGCCTTGAGTTTCCTGGACCGTGGGGAGAGACGGAGACGGAGGGAGACGGAGAAGGGGGTCCGTGGTGCTTGTGGTGCTCTGGTGAGGGGTGAGTCGGGGAGGGGGGAGGTGGGAGGTGGGGAGGGTGTGAAAGAGGAGTGGGAGGGAGAAGGAGTGAGCTTTTGAGTCTGCAGCGTCCCATCCTGCAAGCAAAAAGACAAAACAAATACGTATTTAGAGATGAAAAGTAGCTAATGCCAGGAGGAGTAACTGTTGTACTGGTTGAAGGCGTCAGAAAAACTCCTAAAAAGCTCTTTGCGTTAGCGCGTGAGTTCATGTGAGCGGGTGTGTGGGCGTGTGAGTCTACGCATGCATACTTGTGTATCTATTGAAGGAGACACATGACTTACAGACACAGGCTGGTGTCTGGATTCCTCCAAGTCTCCTCTGAGTAACCTGGGAAACAATTGTTTACCACTGTCAATTGGTGGCACACCATAGCCATTGTAGGCAGCAACAGTAATTCATGGTTACTGTATGTATGTATGTATGTATGTATGTATGTATGTACTGCCAGCTGAGGTTTTCCTAGCTACTAGATACTGGCGGTTGTCAGGGGATACGAGAGAGGGAAGAAAGGAATGTGTCAGCGTGGCGTAGGAAGTGCCCATGTCAGGGAATAAACAAAGGGATTAAGATACGTAAACAATAGTTCCTTTCTCAGTCTCCTCCTAATAAGCCTTGAAAAGCGAGGGGATATCTGAGTGGCGCCAAAGCCCCTGATTTTTAGACTCGTGAGGGAGTACAGTTACTGATGTAACACTTAGGAATGGTACAGGTAGGGGTGTTCAACGAAAAATATAAGGTCCACCCTCGCTCTTTCATGGGACTTGGAACGAGGCTATAAGTAAACAGGAAAGCTTGATTTACAAGATGTTCCACTGCCTTGAAATGGCCTCTGAAAATGGATTCTAGATGCAGCATGCCGTCCCTGTTGCATTTCGCCTTCGCTACATGGCCTAAGGTAGAACTGTATTGGGTTAATGGGGAAGAGGAAGTAGAATGACAGTCTCAGCTTCTGGTTGTTAGGGAACACGATTAAGAAGGGGAAGGAATGCATCTCTAAGGCGGCTCAATAACCAGACAAATATTAGCTACAAATCTCTCCCACTACACCAGGAAGTTTCCACGGAGATCCTGAGCTTAGGGCGAGGAATCTACTTATGTACCAACCAACGCAGTTTGTTTTTGTTATGCCCTCAACGCTGCACAGGCACACAAACAAAACTAGTTACACCGACTCCCATGCAGAGTACAATGTAGTTGGTGTTGACCCCCATGCCGTGCATAATGTACATGTTGTGCACTAGGTTCAACTTTGTATATCCACGCAAGCAATACACACCCCTGCACATGTACAGAACATGTATCCTGCCCATATCACAAAGCTGCCACCTTTGAAGTTTACCACCAGAGAGAGAGAAAAGTGTCGAGTGACTTACGCTTGAGCTAGCTGACTGTACTGGTCTCCAAACTGCTGGAGAGCTTGTGCCAGACTCTGCCTACTGCAACCAGTCCCCGATCTGTACCACTTCATCAGAATCTGATAGACAAACACACAGACAGACAGACAGACAATGAGATATGTAGTATATCGTAACGCAGAGAAAGGCACAGTGTAAACAATGGTTGCTTATTGGCTGCCACTAATTGTGGGCCGCTCCAAGCTAATTAGCCACAACAATGCCACCCACTCAGTGCCTTGACTCACAGACATGCTCTGTCTCTGAGGAGATGGTTCGCAGGCTACGACATCCTCGTACTCCCTGTACTCCACTCCCAGATAGACGGCCAACTGTGGGAGAATATCCACCACTCTCAGAGAGAGGGAGGCCAGCTCCACAGACGACAGGGAATCAACCTCCTCCCCTTCCACTTCCTCTGGCGGTTGTTCATCAACACGTGAGGCGTTCTTCATTAGGGTCGCGTTGTATGATGATACTATAGAGGATTGTAGCTGGGGCTCTAATACACAGGTGGCCGGGTCATCACCGGAGACTGGTAGAGGGTGAGGCAGAGGAGGTGGGGATATACAACGAGGTTCTTTGGGGTCTTGCGCAATTTCCTTTGCTTGCGAGGAAACCGGCAATGAAGCCCCGAGTGAGGCTTTAGGTAAAGGGTTTTCTCTGGTATGGGCATGAGAGGCAGAAGCAAAACTTTCCTCTTTTCGTTCTTCTTCCTCTCCTAGTTTTGTAGTGCCCCTGTCGTCGTTTGTCTGATTGATACCACCGCTCTTGACTGGTTTGAGCTGAACCTCAGAGCTGTGTCTGCCCACTTTGTAGTGAGAGGTGAGTGGAGAGGGAGATCGGAGAGATTGGTGAGGAGGAGGAGGGGGGTTCATTTCGGGGACATGAAGCACCGGACATGACAGCGTCACGCTCCCGAGACCAGGGCGGGCATGAATTAGAACTGGAGGCTGGTGTCTGGAAAGTGCAGCCTCTGATCTTAGGGAAAGTCTCGGAGTTCTGTTCCCCGGAGGAGCTGGGGTCTTGGGGTCAAACACTGGGAGCTCTGAACCAACAGGGAACTCTGGTAGAGGAGACTCTGATTTCTTTCTGGAGTGCAGACTACGTAGGTGAGTGTGAGGTTGAGAGAGAGTTGTATCTATAGTGGCAGCAAGGCTGGCCCTCTCTATAACAGGGTGAGGACTCGCTGATGATTCTTTTCGTTGTGCAGGGGCTCCCGAATTATTAGTGGGGCTCCTAGAGTGTCTCTGGATAAACAACGACAAGTTGTGTAAACGTTGAGTCTGTTGTTGTTGTTGTTGTTGTTGTGTTGGAGGTGTGGGTCGGGTGGTTACAGGCGGTGGCTCTTCAGAGTCAAAATTTGACTCTTCGTCAACTTCATCAAGCTGTAAAAAAACAATATTCACAGAGAGGGCTATCAAAACTGCATCTATTGGTATGCCACATGTATGTGTGTATGCGTGCAAACTTCCAACAAGCTCTACATCTTGCGACAAACCTGGGAGGACGGCTGGTGGTAGACGTCCACGCTCTCCAGCCACTCCAGGATCCGACCTCTGTCGAACCCCTCATGCTGCTGCTCCCGGCCGCTGCGGCTCATCTTTCAGAGCTGCGGTCCAGGTCTATTTGGAGCACGGGCATCGGAGTTTAGAGTTGGTGGGTCGGTCGGCACGGAGCGGTGACTAGGTAGGAGCTGTGTGTTGTTGGAGGGAGTCAACTACCGAGAGGTAGTCCTGTCGAGACGCGTCCACACCGTCGCCGCGGTCGGAGAGAGCACTGCGGTTCTCTCTCCTCGCCACCCTTCACCCGTTTTATTGTCTGTCCTTTCTCCGCGGACTCCCGTATACTCTTCCGGACGTAAAAAGGCCCCGCCCAATTTCCGCCTGCGTTGCCTAGTAACAACGGCTCTGAAGAAACACAAGAACTTCTCCCAAGGAGTCTAACAACGAAGGAGTTATGGAGTAATGGAAATTGAGGGAAGGTCGCCGCAGGGAGGAGAGCGGGGAGACAATGAGAAATACGAGCCGTTCGAATTGCAGCCTTCGGTTCTAGAGGCCGTGGCCTCGCTGTGTCCGGAGCACGAGGCGGAGGAGATATGGAGAGTCGTGGGTCCGTCGCTCGTAGAACAAGCCAGAGACCTGTTGGACGAGGTACGTGTTCTCCCCGTGCTGCGTGGATGAATAAAGTGTTTGTTATGGTGGGCACCAATTGGAATCATACACCCTTCTATGCTAACTCTGCTGCTGCTCTGCAGGCAAGGCTTCACCTGGAAATATGGCGAGAATTGAGTGAAGATGCAGATCACGTGGCATCACGTGGTAAGAAATCAGCATAGTCTGGTGGGCATGAGACCTGAGTTGATATTCCTAAAAACCCACTTCCCATGAACTTTGCATGTTAAGTGTTATGTAACTGAGCATAATTCCGCAGGTCTTCCAGAGCCACCCTTGGTGAGAGAGAGGCTCATTCAGGAAATACGATTCCTTGCCAACCACCTACGAACCAGGGGTGGAAGGTTGGTGACACACCCACAGAACCTTTGCTTCTACAGTACATATGTATCACCATCTCTTCTCTCTCTCTCTCCCTCCCTCCCTCCCTCCCTCCCCAGCTCAACTCTAGGTTCTTGTGGTGCAGACAGAAATAGGGAAATCCTCGACTATGCTCTGACTACAGCCAACCTTCATGGTAAGTATTACCACTTCAATCACTGGCGTTGGTGTGTAGGGGTTCCCCATAATCAAAGGTTCTGCATAAAGCCTTATTCAACACGCGATGTGACGTCAGTTGCTCTCCTCGGGTCGACAAATGACGTGTAGTGCTGCGTCACAGTGCCATTGGTGGGATAGCTAGTTCCCATTGTAATATTCCATTAGCCATTAGCGACTTGGACCAAGTTCAACTGGAGCACCGTGCCAACTGCGATGATACAAATGGAGGCCAAATCTCTGACACCACTGGGCTTGTGGTTACGCGTGTGTTTACCCGTGTATTACAGCCCTTGTGGTCGAATTTTCTTTCCTATTTTGCGCTGAGCGGAAGCAATTAGAACCAGTTTGAGATTTTTGCCTGTTTTTCTCTGCATACCTCGCCAGGGGATGGTGCAGGGCATGGTAACCGAGTTGAGCTATCCCTCGGGCCAATCAATCAACACTCTTACTCGCGCCAAACAGCCGCTCCATCCACACACAAACGGCAGTCGTTACTCAATTTAGTCTAGAACTAGTGCCGGACATATTCCTTCCTATTCTCATTACCTATCCCAAATCCTCTCCTCCATAACCACAACTGCCACTCTCTGATTTGATGTTAATAGAGCATTGTTCCAATTCCTGTATATGTGGTTAACGACTAATGATGACAGGGTCTGTTTGGTTTGTAGGTGGTGGGCGTGGCAGTGGGTGTGGTCGACCAATGAGTGCCGTTAGCAGTCGAGACGGGAGGGACACACCCCTGAGACAAGCCACACCTTCCAGCAGGGATGGGAGGTGTGTACAACGTCAGCCCCCACCCATTCACCATGAACATTACTGATGTAATTTCCCCTATAGTTGTAGCTCAGTATTGAGTGGGCTATCAGTGGAGAACGTGTCACTAGCTGCCATTGACTCCACTGTCCAGTACCTCAGGTAAACCATGTGCCAAACGGTAGCTCTTTAAACTCCCTGTCTCTCACCGACACATTAAAAATCTGTTCCCACTTCCACAGCAAATTGTATATATACCTTGGATATATATACTCAGATTTATACTGTAAACCGTGTGGAATTTTGCAGCTTCAGGACCCAATGTGACTGCAAAGTATGTAGGTGCAGACCCAGTAGTTGATCCCGCGAATCTTCTTATATACCTCCCACTGAATTGTGAAGTGTTTCTCTCTGACTGCTAGCATCCCTCTATAATATTGTGGTTCCCCGCATAGAGAATCACTGGAGGAGGAGATTGAGCAGCGAAGACAAGACGTAGCGCTTCTTCAGGAGTGCAACGAGGGAGAGAGAGCCTTCCTCCAGACCCAGTCTCGACCTCCTCCTCCTCCTCCGTCTCTCAGGGAACTGAGGGGCGTGGGCACTCTGCTGGAGAGAGAGGTGATGAGTGCAATGACCAGGGGCTCTCCCCTCTGCCCCAGTTACCCTTCTCCTGGTAGAGTAGTACAGCTAAGACCACCTCCTCTAGAATGGTGAGTCTAACCGAACAGAAAAGATCTTATTGCACAACACAGGGCTTCTTTTAGCGATATTTCAATCCCCCCAGAATTTCAAAGTATATACATGTTGTTCTTCCACAGTTCTAATAAATCTACCGCATCCTTTTCTGGTATGAGACGAGCGTCTGGAGTCAGGCCCCGCCCAATCCAATCAAGTCCAGACCCTGTAATTAACAGAACTGATGGGACAGTGGGAGTATGCCCCCGACCCAAGCCCCGTCAGTCCAGTAGTGAGGTATTCAGTCCAGCTCCCAGATACACTGGTATTACTACTGCTGTCACACCTACAACCACACACTGTACATCAATCACTTGAACCCCTCTCGTTATAATGTAATGAATCTGTCCGTTATCTTGTCATTATGTGTATATACCTCAGGCTTTTTTTACGCCATATAGCAATGTGCATACGTCCACTGGTAGCTACTAACTCAATAGAAAACGTAATCCATAACACAGCATCAAAGTAGTATAATATACATTACATACCCTAGATAATCGGAATCAAGCTAATGTAATAGACAAAGTCCGTTTAGTTTTTCCAAATCGAGCGGTCGGGCTGGGGTACACAGTGGACAAGCCTACTGCTGCTCCAGGCTGATGTTGAAAACGGTGAACTCCTGCACTTTGCTGCAGTGGACGACCCGAAGACACCAGAGGCAGTAGAGCATTGACATCATTGCCAGTTGGTAGGGCCGCGGGGAGCTGCTGATGTTCCTCTCCAGCTCTCTCAGGACGGTGTCAACACACAGCTCCCTCTCCTCCCTGACACAGTTCAGAACTATCGGGACCGTAATGTTGTCACTGCCAATCATGTAGTGGACCTATATAGAGAGAGATAGCGGAGTTAGCGGAGATGGCGTAGTCATTACATCGTTGTTAACATTTGCATCACACAATCCAGGAAAAGTTTACTGAAATTGAGGTAAAGTAGCCAATAAAGAATGAAAATGAGAACCTTTCACTGGCTATATAGGAGACTTACGTTGAATGTGAATTTTGTGTCGGTGGTGTTGGCAAGGGTCATTGTGACGTTGGGCTTGGTCTCCCCGCCCCAGCTGAAGACGAGGGTGGTGAGGGGCGTGGCTTGAGCCTGGGTCTTGGTGGGGGAGTTCCTACTGAACCTGAGAGCAAACACCATGCTGCAGATCATCTCCACCACACCGACTGGCTCCGTCAGTCTTCCCTACATACAGGAGACACACACAGAGAGAGAGACATGATTATACAGATACAGTGGGACCTCTCTAGTAATACTCCTGTAAAAAGGGCAACTCTTCTTTAGTTCTTGCAGACAATTTAACCCCTGAAAGAAGGACACCTCACTAATAAGGACACTTTCTTCCGTCCAACAGGTGTCTATTATAGGGTCTCACTCAGAGTTTTGTAAGCACCTGAATGTTTTGCCGGACGACTTCAAGGATCCTGGTGAAGGGTGTGTCTTCGCAAGGGATTGTGATGTGGATACGAGGGATGGTGACAGCTCCTGTCACTTCCACTGTAACCTGATTGTTGGTGACCATCCTCACCGTACAATGTGTGGCCTGTAGGACAGAGATGCATATAGTGAAACAAACTCCAAGGCCACCCCTGAAGAAAATGAGGACACCCCTCTATTACTCTGAGTAGTTTTTTTGCAACAAGGACACCTCACTAATATGGACACATTCTCCCATTAGTCTTAATTAGAGGGCTCCACTTCTTTAGTTGGGAAATTATCTCCGTAGCCAAGCTCACCGCTTTGATTGACATGGTTTCTTCGGAAGACCAGTCGCAGTGGAGAAGACTGTTAGATTAGTTCACTCAAGTTTTTGTTCCTGACTGTGCTGCTAGTCTGAGTGTCACCCATTTTTATAGCCACGACTGTCCCCACTACCAATAATACGTTCTCATGAGAACTCTACCAGATGTGCAAACAGTGGGAAGATAATGGAGGGGTCCTCCTGGACAATGACAGACAATGGCACTGTCTTTCACTTTGTTCTGCCCACTGGGCGCAGCTAGTCTCTGGGAAATGACAGTTTATCTGAGATGTGTGTCATGTTGGATGTTGTACTCCCATGCTTCTACTGGCTCAGCCACATCTATTGTTCTCTCCGGGATAATACTAACTGAAATCTGGCAATTTTCCATAGCCCCTCCCTCCGGCTTCGATCATTACCAAGGCGTCGTCCTGTAGACTCGATCTGCTGTTGATACCCGTGACCTGACAAACAGAATGTTATCCGTGTTAGGTGCACGATGTGTGGTTGTAATGGGCACTAACGAGCCACAATGTACTCGATCGATCTACGTATGTCTTTGTTTACACTACTTGTGCAAATTGTTGACATCGACAAGGTTACATCATAACTCGTACCCTCCTAGCTGAACAGTGTATGAATACTGTGTATACAACCGACAGACATGTCGCGATAAATTCTACGATATGGTGAGAGGAATGTGTCATACGAGATGTGTCCATAGATTGGTGACATATCTAGTGTAGCAGTGCACAAATACGCTCGAGTTTCCTTGCACGACGAATAACAATTGTAAACATGCAGAGACTAAAACCGTGGATGTGGCCGCGTTTGCTGTCAACAGGAACAGCTACTCGTGTCCGGGCACGGATCGACAGTCTGGGCGTGTCCACGCGCAGAGTTCGGGTTCTTCTCTATGCTATCTCTCCGCCATCGTTGAGGAAATGCGTCTACGAGATACTCAAACACTCCCTGACGGTGTTTGCCGCGTCTTTGGCGCTCTGCATCGAGCAGAACTCGCAGCCGAGGTTATGGCGAGATGTTCTCGTACACTGCGTGCTCTCTGAGACGTCTTCGCGTTCGGTCAGCGTCGCTCTTGTGCAGAACTGCCCTGGTGCGCTCTCCCTCTCGCACGACAGGCTCCTGGATTGTGGCTGCCTACTGCAGGCAATGAGACACCTGTGGGACAGGAGGAGAGAAGGGAGGCGGAGGTAAGGAGAGAGGGGAGAGGGGGAGGATCGAGAAGAAAGGGAACATAATGTGAAGATTTAACAAAAGGAACCGTTTGTTCTGAGGCTTCAGGCTGAGAGAGCTACTACAACAATGCATCTCCGTGTCTGTTGTGTGTGCTGAATGACTTAATCTCTTGGAATTGCCACAACTAACAGTACTACAGTGGTTTCATACTTACAGGAATTGAAGCCGGCGACTATAATACACACACTGGACTACAATAGAAATGTGACGAATTTTCATCTCCAACATAACTTTCCTGAGCATTTTCATTCACTTTGGGCGACAATGCAAAAACCCGGCACATAAAGAGGCCAGTGTGGCGAATGAGTCACACACCACTTGCAAACATTCCCCCCAATGTCACAAGAACAAATTTCAAATACTCTCACACAGTAACGCACACACACACACAACCCCACCCAAGCACCCACGACAACTAACCCTCATCATTGTGGTTCAAACACAGCGTCAGAACCAAATGAAACTCAAAGAGAGAAATTCGTTAACATGGACACGCCGAACACTGCGCTACAGAGCCAAGGTTTCTTCCAATATTTGCGAGGTATAAGGTCACACTACCGACGCATGCATTCCCAGCTTATATACGCTAATAAACCGCTAAGACACCACTTAATTCTTTGCACTTCTGCTGATCCAGCTATAGTGAAGCTATATCATTTCCCATGTCCTAGATTTCTCAGCATAACAAGATTAACAAGATTTCTTCGAGTTTATAGACAACGACACATGGTAATGTAGCAGACGCCCAGCCTTTGACGGCGTGGAACGATTCTTCGTTTGTGAGGTCAAACGATGAGTATGAATCCATGGCCCCACGGTAGTAGGCTGTCGTGAATGGTCCTGTAGCGCTCCCGTGGCCTGCCGTGTCCAATCTGCACTTTATCCTCATTGTCTTGTCGGAGAGAGGGGGAGAGGAGAGACGGAGACGAGAGAGAGAAACGAGTACATAGAGAGAGCGTGCGCGGTTGGCCGAGGGTGGTGCTGGTGGTGGGTGTGAGCGTGGAGCGTGTGAGCGTACGAGAAGGAAACGGAGACAGGGATCGTGGAGAGAGGAAGGCAAAGGAGAGGGAGAGGGGTAGAGGCGAGAAGTTTAAGAAGAGGACAGAGGACAGGGGAAAGAGGGAAATGAAGGACGAGGTAAAGAAATGGAGCATGTAGAAATTGAACTGGACGATGACATGCTCAAGGGGAAAAACCATGAAACCAACAACTACACAACCCACTCGCCACAGCAACACGAATCCCCAGTACCAAGAAAAACACACAACACTGGCAGTGGCTTATTCCACCTATTTCCAAGATGTGTGTGTGGACATACTGTAATGCTATTGTCGAGTCCCATCCAAGAAACATTATCCCAACACGGGGAAACAGCATAAGATACTAAACAATCCACCAAGTACATTAGTACAGGTGGTGCAATACCCATAGATGCTTCACTTGTGGGAAAGTTAGCATTCAATTTGTTTTCAAACACATAATACACCACAGGTCGTCGCTGGAGAATCTCGCTACTTGTGACACTGCCCTAGTCTCCCCACACCACTTCAATTATCACAGCACACACCCGGAACAGCACATGCAGAGGGGAGCAAATCTGGGTCTTCTGAGAAGACCCACCAGCTACCTCCACCCTGCTTCTCTACCTCTACCATCTTCCCTTTCACTCAGAATCAAGGAAAACCAGAAGCCGTCTGTATATCATAGCCATACTAGCTAGCCCCGAGTGCCAATTTTCCTTCTCGCTATCTCCTCGGAATGGCTACACCTTACATGTTTTGACTTGAATCGATGCCAACGTGGCCACAAATGAACTGGAGAAGTTAGCCGCCCAGTAGCGCAAAAAGAAGGCCGTCTTCCCCACGCCCAGAAGTCACCACTATGAAAACCCTGTACAGTAGTCCGACAATTCGTGTCGGTCCGCGTATCGAAGCTGTCCCATCTGCGTCCCCCACTCCCCCCCGCCGAACTATTGCTAGTGCAGGCTATATGGGCTGGTCTCCCCGCTCTACTAGCTGCACTGAACGCGGCGGACGAGACAGAAGGACGTTTTGGTGTCTGCAGTGGTTCTCTCCTCGCAAACCGTAAGTGGCGCCTTTCGTACGGGTTCGTCAGGCGCGTCCGGAGTTCGCGGAATGGCCGGTGGTCTGCGCAATTGGGCGCAGGGTAAGGGGGCAAGTGGAAGGGGAAAGCGATTCTCGGAGGCCGTCCTCCAAAGTGCCCTAGCCTCCACGTCCGGCAGTGTGTCTCGTTTAAGCGAGCCCGTATGGCCGTTTGCTGCTCGCGTTGCCCCCATCCTGGGTATTTCTTCCATAGCTCTATGGGGCTTCTTCTAGGCCCTCGCTGAAAGTAGCCAGTCCACCATCTGACACACCCGTCTCACCGGCTCTGAAGAAAACAACCTACCGGGAAACTGAGATCCGCCATATTGTTTTGGTACACACACTGTTGGCTGTTCGGCAAAAAAGAGGAAGGGTTTATTCCTCCAGGCCTTCTGCTG